AAAAAATGCATAAAAAATTTACAAATACTTTCTAATCACGTGTCCAATTAAAATACAAAAATATGATGTGAGAAATGTTTTAAATAAAGTCATATGTAATTTGAAAATCAAAACTACATACAAAATGATCTGTTATGTGTGTCTGAGAAAGTAAAGTGTCTGTGTAATTAGAAAATGTTCATGATCTAAAACAACATGTAGAAAAATACAATATGCACTGTTGCTGATTTTCCTAATTTTATACTGTTTCCCCATTTAAACCGGGATAAAATGAAATACCAGTGCCCCTCATGCTGAGTTCAGCTGGTATTACTGTACACTGAGGCAAGGCTAATATAGGAAGAAGGTAGATAAGTTAGCTAACATTAGCTGACAAACGAATGTCTTTCGAAAGCTAGAATGTAAATTCACAAGTTCAGCTATTTACTAATTGCTCTATTCTTCTGTCCTTTAATGACATTCAGTGAGCAATACCTGACAATATATTTTACTACAGGTCATAGTTTACTATTTTTTAAAGCTTGAAGTTGGTCACTATACACTGTCATTATAGGGATGAGTGCAAGCAGGACTTTTTTTTATTTCTTCTTTCGTGCTCTGAAAATGAAAGATCACAATATAATCTATTGCACAGACATTCTAATACTCTAATATTGTTAAAGGTATTTGGATGTGATGAAGTAGATATTGAGCTGTCTTACGAATGTCACCTATAGCCAGATCCACCACTCACTTCAGGGAATATATTTTCTATGATATATAGAATGGCACACATAATTGTATTTGTTTTATTTCGAATTCTACTAAATGTGTTCCTGTCCTAAATATCTATATTTATTTTACAGCCCCGTCATGCAGCACTTCCAGGATCTTTGGTAAGTTATTATAAATATTTGGCAGACAAACAATCTCCACACATCTTTAATGATACGGTCTAGATGTGTTTAGAGTGTTTAGAATCTCTGTGGCAATTTCATGACCTATTAATGTTCTTACCTCGGTCACACTTACTTGTGATTCAATACAAAGACATTTTGGAGAAATGGCTTCTTTTGGCTAGTTTTATATAGAGCTCTACATGATGTTGAATATTATCATAAAACAAGGGTCAATTAAAAACAGATTTGAAATTTTCAGTCGTTAATACTGATTGATTTAAATATCTTATGACTTTGTTTTCAAAGCATATTGGAATGTATTTTTTAAAGCTTGACAACAGACTAAATACTTAATATATTGCAATGTGATACTGTATATATTATTACTTTGGCTCAATCAGACAGTCCCGTACAAAAGCATCATCTATGAAGGAGTACAGCCTGCAAAATGCATCATCATCCAAGGAGTCATCACCCCACAAGCAAAACGGTTTGACAATATCACTTTTTTCATCAATTATTTTTTTTTTCCTTGAATATTCTCTAATACTATTAGAATGTCACATCTTCCTGATCAATAAAGTGAGATTGTCCTTTAATTATTATATATATTTTTTAAATAAAATGTCCTCTCATTTTCTTTCACCAACAGAGTAGAGTTTAGTCTACGGCACAAAACTGGAATTGCATTTTACTACAGTCTTTGTTTTGATGAGGATGTGGTTGTGTGCAACAGCTATGAGGATGGGACATGGGGAAATGAGGAGCAATCTGGACTCAAGCTGTTTGAGAGAGGGCAGCCTTTTCAGGTAGTCATATACAGTATATGTCTTTATAATTCCCGTACATACCCTTTCTGTTCAAATGGACAATGTGTATGACTGTACAATAGATGTTGAGGGGGTGGGGGGGGGTTCTTTTATACAAAACAATCTATAATGGTTCATTAGATGGCACATTTAATATCACAGACAGCAAGCAACCATTGCCATCCATCAAAATGTAAAGTCAGTGTTGATGCATCAGTGTTAATTGCATTAATTTAAAATTATGTTGTGTCAGTATCACTTTTGCATCCTCAGTTGTTGAAACCATATTGAAATGTCAATAAAAAAAATCAATGGCACTGTTATTGCATCAACATTACAAACTGATGTTGTCGATGATAAAATATAATTGTCTCATACCCAAAGCATATAAGAATGAACGATGTCACCTAAGAGCAAGTCAATTGTCAACTGGCATGCAAACAAAATAACAGAACTATAATTTTAGTAGCATTGAAGTATGTTTATATTTAATGTATTTATCTGAAATCATTAATGCTTCAATATCTCTTACATACTAGAAACACTGAAATGTCAATCTCAACTGAGATGATGGTATGGATGAAAACTTAACCATGCATCATCCTGAGAAAATGTATACAAACTCAACAAATTAATTTAGTGGATTTGCATTTCCCCCCTTCATTTAGAAATTAACAATGCAATCACACTCACACTTATATATTTGCATTGATTTAAGTTGATGTTTCCAATAAATACGAGTTAAAATCTGGGATTCTAAAGATTCGGTTGGTTCACTTATTTATTTGTAACAAATAAATAATGATAAATGATTTCACATTTTTGACTTGCATGTGCATTTCAGGTCACCATTTGTTGCAGTCCTGATAATTACAAGATGTTTGTCAATGGTGAAAACGTTTGCACTTACAGCCACCGCTACACTAAACTGGAGGAGATTGATGTTTTGGAAGTTAGTGGAGACGTGCAGCTGAGCTTTGTGCAGCCCTGACAAAGAATCCATGCAGGTCTATGAGGAATAGGTTCAAAACCTGCATAAATGAAAGAAAAACATGCAATAATCTGTGTATTCATATGCAAAGATATTTTGCTTGCATGCATATTAATCTGATACCCATGTGATTGATTGTCCACAGCAGCAGCACTGTAAAAATAAGTGTTCATGCTGCCTTAAAATGTTATGTCTAGTCTACTTGTAACGTGTCATTGTATTAAGTGAAACTATGATCGAGAGCTTTCTGACCCTGCATAGACAGCAACGCAACTGAAACACATGCGTGTGCATTCCTCTGCTTGCAAACAAGCCACAGCGCATGACCCCTTAATAAGGGATAATAACATTTCAGTTGTGTTGCTGTCTATGGAGGGTCAGAAAGCTCTCAGATTTCATCAAATATATCTTAATTTGTGTTCTGAAGATGAATGAAGGTTTCATGGGTTTGGAACGACATGAGGCTGAGTAATTAATGACAGAACTTTCTTTTTTTTTTTGGTGAACTATCCTTTTAAGTTCTCTCATTCTAATGCTACTTTTCAAGTTATGATAGCTAACTGTAACAATCATTTTTACTATGAATCATTTAAAATGAATAAACAAAGTGTTCTGTGTGGGTGGGTCCAGCCTATTTGAAATATGCCTACAAACACATTTATTTTTAGATTGCACAATAATAATAATACTTGTGCGAAACAACAGAGATGTTAAACATGACTAACATTTATTTATACATTTTTGTCCCTCCTTTATGATTTTGACTGCATCTGATCCACCCAAATGTATAAAGCTAACAAACATTCAAAAGTTTATAATCACGAGGATCACAAATCATGCTATAAACTTTCATAAGAGCACTAGACAAAGTTATTGTAGTTATGTATTTTTGCATTAAACAACTGATAAAATTATCCACCCTTAAATAAAGTAAAGTATTAACACATTTTGATGCAATAAATAGGGTATGATTTACTGTAAAAATAATCATCCCTCCAAAACAACAGAGAAAACATCTTTCACAAACATCTACATGTCTGTCTCCTTTAAAGTGTTTATAGTGTGTATATAATGAGTTGTATTTGTAGGGGTTATTATAACACAATTCTTTTACACCAATCCCCCCAAAAATAAAAGCACTTATGTTACTTTGATTCTTAATATAATATATTTTTTCTGACTATTTATTTTTTATAGATTTTTCAGGTTTTGCTCTGCCAAGCTATCCAGGCAGAATCTGGATTCATAGTGTCATCTTGTCGTGGGAAATGTGACTGAAATCAAATGTTTGCATGACGTGTTGCTGCGAAACAAGAATTGAAGTTAGAAAATCTCAGAAAACTGTCAGAGAACAATGATAAATACATAAATCAAACAAAACAAAGATCACAGGCTTTTCCATATTGTGTCTGAGTTATGTCTAAAATGTTTGCCTGCACACTGTGAAAAAAAAATAAAAAAATAGGATTTACTTTGAAATAATTTTCACTCAGGAATTGCTAGTCAATTTCACAAATAATTACCAGAAAGAAAGAAAGAAAGAAAATGTTCTTTCCGAAAAAAGTTTTCTTTCCAATATTCCTTGTTTTGTTTACAACTTAGACACATTTTTTTTTTTTTTACTGTGCATTTCGCAACGTCAGTAACTCCTACAGACATCAGTGACTCTCCAGATGTAGTTCAGTGTATTTGTTGAACAGGTTTAACGTGTGCTGAAGGGTGGAGCACAGAAACATCCCAAAAACAGAGGTCAGTGACGTCTGATATTCAGCAGCTTTGTGTTTTATTTCATTCTGTGACTGAAATTACTGCTCAGAAATGTCAACACACTATAAAGATGAACTCAAGGACCAAAATGTGAAATTTTCGTTTTCATTGCTGTTTGTGAAAAAAAGAAGGAAAAACAGGTCAGTTTCAGTTACTGATGATAAAACTGACTGAAAAAAATAAATAAATTCTGAATTAAAAGCATCATCAAATATGGTTTAAAAAAAAATAAAAATCATTGAACTAAAAGTGTGTCAGAAAGCCTTTCAATCACACGTCACAGTGTTAGTCTTCATTGTCATCAGTTCATCACAATAGAGGGAGTTTCAGTGTCACAACAGCTCGAGCTCAAATCCCTTCATTCTCTCGCTGGATTCACACTGAGACTGGGAAACTTACAGACATCAGCCAAACCAACACAGAGTAATGAACCCAGAACACACAGGTATGTTTGAATTGATATGATATAATAGCAAACCGATACGATAATCACTGTAGAGGACTCTTAGAGAAACTTACACAACAAAACCTGTTTAACTAGATTGTAGTTGATCTCAATGACTATCATGTGTTTAACACTGTTAACATGAGTGATTTCTGAATATATACTGTATATATCTTCACATAAACAATAAAACATGATCCAAATGTGTCTATATTTGCACCAATGGTTTAGTTAGTATATAGTAGTAAATAGTATACTAAAAGTACATATGTTTATAGACAACACAAATACTTGTGTGCTGTCAAGTTATCATGTTTGTGATCTGTTATTGTAGTTATTATGTTTCAGATGCAATCAATGTGTTTTTTTATGTGTCATTTTAGGTTGATATTGTGATCAAATTGTCAAATTGATCAACACATTTTTGACATTTTTTTTTTTTGTCTCAAAGTTTACAAGAGCCAATTTACTTACATTTTATCACATATTCTGTGAATGAGTCATTGTGTTGTTCTAAAGAAAAAAACAAATATTTTATCAAAAATATAATTACTTCACCTTTGTACTGTCGTGTCATCTGATATTACTGTACATGGGCCATAATGTACTGCTATATTTCCTCTGATTTTTATTTTTATTTTTATATATATATATATATATACCAAATCACCAAACCCAGTCAACACTTTCTCTTACCATATAACAACTGTAGTCCAATTACCTGTTTTGCTTTATTGCATAACACACTTTTCATGATCCAAACCATTACTGTTTTCTATTGTACTACCTTATGTTACCTGTAACATTTATTAAATAATCACACCGAAGTATTTAGTCCACAACCTTCTTCTGATGATTATTTCTCATTATTTCCCAGAGTCCGATGAACCACCTGCTGATCAAGAGCTGAGGATGGTGTTGATTGGAAGAAGTGAAGCTGGAAAGAGTTCAATAGGCAATGTAATACTGGGTCGAGAGGCGTTTAAAGAGAGCAGAACCCTAATGTACTGCTATATTTCCTCTGATTTTTATTTTTATTTTAATAATATATGATAGTACATTTCCTTGTGTTTCTTTTCTTTTTTTTTTGTTTAGTTCCTCGTGCATTGTTTGTGGATTATGTGATATTTAGGTATTTAAGGCACTGTCTCTTTAAGAGAACACACCTACTTGGAAGCTTATTGGCATCTTTTATTGGTATCATACTGTTTTTTGTTTGTTTGTTTTTGGATAGTGTTGACTACATTAGAACATAGCTGAGGATGGTGTTGATTGGAAGAAGTGAAGCTGGAAAGAGTTCAATAGGCAATGTAATACTGGGTCGAGAGGCGTTTAAAGAGAGCAGAACCCGAGAGAGTGAGAAACAGACAGGAAGAGTAGAAGACAGAAACATCTCCATCATCGACACGCCAGGATTCTTCAACACTCAACTGGCTGATGAAGAGATGAAGAATGAAATGATGAAGAGTCTGTATCTCTCTGATCCTGGTCCTCACGTGTTCCTGCTCGTCATCAGACTCGACAGATTCATCGAAGACGTGGTGAAGATCGTAAAAAAGATTTATGAGCACTTCGGAAAGGACGCTTTCAGGTTCACCATGGTGCTGTTCACGGGAAGAGAGGCAATGTCCAAACGAGAATGGATTGAGTTCAGGCTGGACAGAAAAACTCGAGAACTGCTGAGCTTCTGTGAAGAGAAGTGTCACGTGATCATTCATAAAAACAAGAGAGACAGGAAGCAGATCGCGAGCCTGTTGGAGAACATTGATGAAGTGGTGAGGAAGAATGGACGAGAACATTATACTAAAGAGATCTACGTGAAGAACAGTCAAGAGGAGATGAGGACGAAACGAAAAGATGGAAAAGAGAAGATCAGTCTAGACGCGCAAATAACAAGCCAAGAGAAAGAGAAGAACAGAGAAGACGACAACAGAGCAGAGGAGCAGATCAGAGATGAAGAAACAGAAAACAGTGTTCAGAAAGACCAAAGAGCAACAAATGAGAGAGAAAAAGGCTCTCCAGAAGGAAATCAAAGCGACCAAACATATGAAACAAGTTTGATCGGGCAGGAGATGAAAACGACACCAGAACATAATTCAATAAAAGGTCAATATTTAGCTGTTTATAACTTGTAACTTGATCATTTACACCAGTTTATTGACATATGTTGTTAAGTTAACTAACTTTTTTTCTTCACAGTGTCTGATCTGAGGATTGTTCTTCTGGGTAAAAGTGGATCAGGAAAGAGCTCCACAGCGAACACCATCCTGGGCAGAGATACGTTCAAAATCAACACGAGTCTCCCATCAAGCAGTCAAACCTGTGAGAAACAAGAAGCAGGTGTTTTTGGAAGAAATATCTCAGTGATCGACACTCCAGGACTGTTTGATCCATCCATGACGAGAGACCAAATGCAGGCCGAAATACAAAAGTGTGTGGAGATGACGGATCCTGGTCCTCATGCGTTTCTGCAGGTCATCAGACTGAGCGATAGATTCACAGATGAAGAGAAAAACACAGTGAAATGGATTCAGGAGAACATCGGAGAAGATGCTTTACGTCACACCATCATTCTGTTCACTCACGCTAATCAGCTGAAGGGAAAACCATTAGATGAGTTTATCAGAGACACTCCAGATCTTCAGGCGTTTACTGAGGGTTTTGGTGGCAGATTTCACTCATTCAACAATAAAAACATCGAGAACCGCTCTCAGGTCTCTGAACTGCTGGAGAAGATTGAGAAGATGCTGGAGAGAAATGGAGGGAAGCACTGCACTAATGAGACATTTGTGAAATATCAGGAAGATATTGACAGCGGGAAAGAGGAGAAAGTCAAAGAAAACCCGCTAAACTGGTGGAAAGGAGTGCTTGTTTTTGTCGTAGGAGCGCTAGCAGCTGCAGCAGTAGTTAAAAGTGGACTTGAAGGATGAAGAACATCTGGAACAACAACAGCAAAGCAATACCAACAAACAGCTGGGAAATCCTTTTTTAATTGTCTTCAACAGATTCTAACAATAATAGTGGATTTCTATAATATATAATGTATTTTTCCTAATTATTTATTAGGCTGGACCTAAACATTTTATTGCTCATCAAACATAACAAGAATGTTAAAAATGTTATATGATTTCAGACTAAAAATAAAGGAAAAATGTTTTAATTTTGCAATTCCCATTGTCAGTAATCGTCAATTAAAGTAGCTTTCAGCCTGTCAACCATTTAGGAACTTATTTATTTATTTTAATGTGCAGTCATAACTACAAGTTCTTTGTGGGTTTACCTCCCTCAAAACTGTAAACGCTATGCTCTGTGACACTTTTCAGGGGTTCTCATCTCTGGCCCTCGAGGTCCACTTTCGAGTTTAACTTTAACCCTGATCAAACCCACCAGTCTGTAACTTTCTAGTGATCCTGCAGAGCTTGATGAGCTTGTTCAGGTGTGTTTGATTAGGACTGGAGCGAAACTCTGCGGGAAAGTGGACCTCGAGGGCCAGAGTTGGTTTTATTTGACCCTGGTTTTGTTTGATGTTTTAACAACCCATTCAGCTCAATGGTATAAGTCTGGGGCGTGACTATCTGTAATGAACGGTTTGAGTGGGAATATAGTTTGAATATTACAGAGGTAATCATTTCACCATAGATGGATATTATTCCCAAAATATGAAGACCTGTGAAAATAAAAATAGAGAGCATGACACTAGAATGAACGCTGGCATCGCATTTTCAAGGTGGATTTTGAATGAATTGTTGATTCAATGAAGAAGCCAAGCTTTCTCGACAAGTAAGCTCAATCATTACTACATGATTTAAATAACTTAGCTTTAACATTTACCTGAAGAATCATCTTTTTCATGCACTGGACGTCCACCTATTATTCAGTCCGGTGATGTCACCAGTTTCAAGGTTTTAGTGTAAATGATAAATGTCATTGGTCAGTGTATTGAGAATTAGCATTGATTTTACCTGTTGAAACATTTCTTCTATAGTCTGGTAGATATTGTTTGTGTAAAGTTGCTTCTAAGCGTTTACAGTCGGTGGAGGAACTAAAGGGGTGTGGGGATGGAGGCTGCGCAGAAGTCCAAGAAATTACATACGTCATTCACATGGTGCTTCATCATGGTGTTGCCATGATTCTGCTGAAGTTTTAGCTTGAAAGAATATAATTCTTCTTTTGGGTGGAGTCTTTTGTTGGTCTCTGGCAGATCCGGTTCTCATGAGTGTCACTGAGGGTGACTCACCCGTTCATTTTACCTCACTCGTTCTTAACCTGTTCTCATGGAAAAAAATAAATAAAAAGACTCTATGTACTTGCAATTCTGGCAAACCTGAAATAGGCTACATTGCTGCAGGTACTTCAGCTTCTAGAAGGAATCTATTTTTGATGGTAAACTCATTCTTCTCTCATTACTCCTCCTTCTGAACTAGGCTATATATATCAAACCAGTTTGGTCAGTTTGTAAGTATGTATTGTATGCGATTGCAAGAGATTTGCATCTCAATTGTAAAATATTTATAGATACAAAACGTCTCCAGTTCATATATTAATTCCTTTAAGTTTGTTTATAAGCAGACCTATAAATTGTAGTTTAGGTTTAAATATTAATACTAATTTTATTTAATTTTTGTATTTTGTTTGCACTCAAAAGTTAACCAGTTCTAGGATGCTACACATGCATGGCTCGTGCTTGTATTTTGAAGTTGCAATCTGTTAATATGTGAATTTATTGCATGTGTGAATATGACGTTTGAACCCCTTTATGCCATCTATAAACTCCATAAGGCTACTACTGTAGTTTCAGTTTCAGTTTATTTATCCCAATAGGGAAAGTACGTTTGCAGCATACACTCACACACACACATTTAACAATTCACATTTGGCATATATAAATGTAAACAATAATTTAATAATAATAAATCTAATTTAAAATAAGTCTAGCTAACCATCAGTTACCACTAGAGGAAGAACTATTTACAAATTGAATTGCTTGGGGGAATAAAAGATAATTTTGACCTGTTTTTTCGAGCTTCTGGGAACACAATGTTGTCGGTAAGATGGCAACAATTCAAAAGTAGAAGATAAAGGATGCCTCTTATCATTCACAATGATGTTAGCCTTATTCAACACCCTTTCTTTAACACCGCAAAAAAATGCTTTTCTTACTTATTTTTTTTGTCTTGTTTTCAGCCAAAATATCAAAAAATTCTTAAATCAAGAAGGGTTTTCTAGACAAGTACAAATTATTGTCTTGTTTTCCGAAAAAAACAAGTCAAAATTAAGTGAATTTTTGCTTAGAACAAACAAAATAATCTGCCAATGGGGTAAGCAAAATAATCTTATTTGAAACAGAAAACAAGATTATTTAGCTTACCTCATTTAGTGCATTTGAGAAAAATTTGAATTTTTTTTTATTAAAGATTATTTGTTTCAGAAAATGAAAAAGTACTCTGACTTAGCAGGAACAAGGTGGCCCATTATAAATGACTAGCTTGTGACATAAACAGACTCATTACATTATTTAGTATTATTTACATTGTAAATCAATGGACCATTAAATATTGATAGGTCCTGACTTTTTTTCTCCTTAATGCATATGTAGGTACACCTTGGTTAGATCTTTTCACCAGTTTTCTGGGTAAAATAACAGTTGGTGGTTTAAATATGTAAAACTGAAGTATACCAGTAAGGCGAAACTGATTCAAAACTGCTCAGAATGACCACTGTAGCAATAATTAGAGTCAGGTATGGTCCTCATCTTAATGGGTTTTATTGAATTTCACAACCACCTGTATCATCTTGTCTTTTAAAGATGTTTTGTCTGGTGTAGTGCCTCCCTCCGTTTCTCTGCACCATTTCATCAATCTTCTCCAGCAGCTTTGTGACCTGACCTTGATTGTTTCTGTCCTTGTTGTTTAATGCGTGATATCTGCCACCACAGCTGTCTATCAGTGATTTTAGGTCCTTGATTTTTTTGATATACTCATTCAGAGGTTCATCAATCACTGCATCCAGCAAATCAGCATGAGTGACAAGAACGACAGTGTGATTTAAAGCATCTTTTTCAAGGTTCTCCTGGAACCATTTAACTGGGTTCTTTTCCACCCTTGCCAATCCTTCCACGCCGATCACCAGCAGAAACACGTGCGGACCAGGAGCAGACATTTCTAAGCTTTTCTCAACATCAGACTCATTATGATCTTGAATGTGCCTGAATAAGAATGGATCTAACAGTCCAGGAGTGTCTATTATTGAGATGGTCCTTCCATACACCACTGCTTCTTGTTTCTCACAGCTCCTAGTGGTTGTCATAAAACTCGAACTGAACACATTTCTGCCCAGGATGGTGTTTCCTGTTGCACTCTTACCTGCTGTAAGAAAACCCAGCAGCACAATCCTCAGATCTGTTAGTTAGAGAGATATATGAGGTTATTAAGAATTTGAAAAGGCTGGGTCCTCTGCCAGTATGAAATTTAGCAGTGAAACCTATAATGCACAGTCAGACAAAACATCCCATTTACTTCAGTTTAAATTAGGCTCCCATGTGATTTACTAATGCATGATTTCAGCTAACTCACGTAACATGCAGAACCACAAGATCGTCTCTGACATGTTAGGAATGAAATCATGAATTGTTTGCCAGTTACCTTGTTTTGACAGATTGTTGTGTGCCATTTCCCTCACTTGTGACAATCTCAGAGCCATCTCACTCATCTCGAGACCCATCATGAGTGTTAAGAGTTCATCTGTTTCTCTTGTCAGATCATGTAAGTTCTTCTTTGTGTCCTCTTGACTATTGTCATGTCTCATCTCCTCTTGTTTCTTCTTTCGGCTCCTCCATTGTCTTTAATCAGTTCGATCTTCTCCAGCAGTTCTGTGGCCTGATTTTGGTTGTTTCTGTGCTGATTGTTGAATGAGTGAAATCTGCCACCGCAGCTGTCCATCAGTGACTGTAGATCAGGGCTTTTTCTGATATACTGATCCAGTGATTCATCCTTCAGCAAATCCACATGAGTGAACACAACAAAAGTGTGACATACTGCGTCTTCTCCAAAGTTCGTCTGAATCCATTTCACTGTGTTTTTCTCTTCCTCGGTGTATATCCCATTCAGTCTAATGACCAGCAGAAACACATGAGGACCAGGAGCAGACATTTCTAAGCATTTATCAATATCACGCTTGAGTTCATCCTGAAAGTGCTTGTACCACGGAGCATCTAACCATCCAGGAGTGTCAATGATTGAGATATTCCTTCCAGAAACTACTGCATCTTGTTTCTCACAGGTTAAAGTATCAGATTGTGCCTCCGCTCTAAACGCATTTCTACTCAGGATGGTGTTTGCTGTTGCAGTCTTTCCCACATCAGATTTACCAAGAATCATGATCCTCAAATCTGCTGAAATGAGAGAGAATATTATGTTGTTGTGCCAAACTGCTGAAATGTCAATGTGGAAACATTTGGTTACTTTGGTATACGACCCATCGAGACTTTAGTTGTCAGGCGCTGATCAAGAATTACACACGATATATGCAAAGCTATTTATTAAACACGAAGAAGATCTAAGGAACAGATGATTAAATTTTCGTTTAGGACTGTGGCTGCATCACTGGCATAATTGCACAAGAAAGGCACACGTGTCTTTCAGTTTTGAGTTCGCTGGAGTCACACACCTGACAGCTCTTTATGCAGGCCTTTGTCTTCTCAGGTGTGAATCACAGCATTATGCATGATCATTCACGCCTCCTCGCATATACCTTGTCTACACAAAAAGTGTCTTACAAAATTTAAATCAATATATTGTTTTCCGTAAATGAGTGAGTAAGATGATTTTCACATAATTTTGAAGCAAAAACTCTAGACTTCAAGATCCAGTTCTCAAAAGTCTTGTGAATAAGTGTTCTGTATGTGTTTTATGGCCTTATTTCAGTGACTTTAACATTTTAGTTTTTCACTAAGCACGCATAAACCTTGTTTTCTCAAAAACACAATCACGTATATACATGCTGCTCACATATGATTGTAGCACTGTTTGTGCTGATTACAGTGTTATTAAACTTTAGAAATTCAAATGTTTGTAAGCAACTAAAAAAGCACAAATGTCAGGGCAAGTCAAAACGTTTCCAGGGCCCCAAAACACCCTTGGACCCCAGAGGGTTAACTGAATCAGAACAGGTGAGAACTAATTAGTGACTTTGGAAATGAACGAGGGAGTAATCAGAAACTATGAAAACTAAAGATGACTAAGAACACAACAGGGGAACAAGGAAAACGTCTCCAGGTTACACAATGTAACCATGGTTCCCCGAAGGGAACGAGATGCTACGTCGAAACGCTACGGGAACACCTTCAGCGTGACCACACTCTGAATCACTTGTGTAATCAGTCCAATGGATGGGCGAGACGTCACGGGCGGGGTGACGCAACGACCAGGAAGCTTAAAAGCACGTGCGGTGCAACCGGCGTCAGCTTCTAGGAATGACGCAAGCGCTGACAGGGATGCCGGAAGTATGGCCCTGAGACACAGCGTCTCATTCCCTTTGGGGAACCATGGTTACATGCGTAACCTGGAGACGTTCCCCTTCAGGATCTCGAGCTGCATCGAAATACTACGGGAACGAGAATTCCCACGCCGCCAGACTTACAACTTCCTGCCTAGTGTGGAAGAGCTCAGCTAAAGCGAGAGAACGGAGACATGAGTGGCGCAGAGAGCAGGTAGGCACCTGACAAAGTAGGCGGGGACATCCCACCCAAAGGCCAACTTCAGAAGGAGTGAGTCTTGACCCCCAACGGAGAGGGGAGATCAGAGGACTCAAGGCTAT